GATGGAAATATTCACTGGAGAGTTGTTGAACGATACATTGGTGAACAATCCACTTAGCCTCTTGCGGCTAAATCTTCAATGCCGATATTCATTGATGCTGTGTTATTGCCAACTACTGATGGAAGTGCAAGGCTGTTGACATAAATTTCTCGCAAAGCTTTAGTGCGTGGACCGTCGCTGGCGTTGGCAGCTGTGACAGCTGTAGTGGTACGACTGAAAACCTAGCCAACTTTCTTGACATCCTTTGTTGTTTTTCTAAAAGATTATTGCTGCAGATGGATATCGAACCCGGGTTGGCGTGACCTGTTAGCTCGGAGATTGTTTTTTTTCTGGACCGTGTTCACAGAATTTTCTCGCTTTCGGGTTGTCGCGAGCGAAAGAGGTTTTTCATGCCTCTCCAAGAATTTGAAGTTCAGTTTAAAACAAGGAAGAAGCTCAGGCTTACTTTGAAAACGCTTTTTTTGTTTTTGCTCTCTAGAAGGTGACGATGGTTTTGAAAACATTCTAAATTGACTTAGAAACCAAACTTTGTAACAATTTGACGATAGTCGTTGTGCTTACGTCGATGCGAAACAATTTCACTTAGCCTCGCTTTCAACTCGCAATTCCACGCTAAATACATCGCTTCGCTAACCAATCAGAATGCGAGATTTTATTCAATGATGCGATTCTAAGCTGAATTGTGGATCAATACAGAAAGCACAGGCGGTCTAAAATAGGTCTGAAGGTCTCAATGGGATTAAACTTATGCCGTAAAACGGCATGCGCAAAACAAATTAGTCGTTAGGAGCAAAATCTGCCAAACTTGAACCGTTACTCGTAGAAAAAAAAAAAAATTCTTTCATTGATGCTGTGTTACTGCCAACTACTGATGAAAGTGCAACGCTGTTGACATAAATTTCTCGCAAAGCTTTAGTGCGTGGACCGTCGCTGGCGTTGGCAGCTGTGACAGTCGTAGTGGTACGACCTTTTTATTTTAACAACCTTTTTATTTTAATCACAACGAAAAAAAAAAAAAATAACGCTAGCCGTTAAATGACGGATATTTTAACCGTCAGTCGTAAGAGCCATTACCCCATTGAGAGCCTCAGCTATAGGTTAGTCTGCATGAGGAACATAGGTTGATATAAAACAGTTCTTGTTAAAATAGCATAAAGCGTTATATATATGACTGTATTATTTAAAGTGAAGGGACCGTAGGGGTCATCCTTTAAGCGGAAGGAATAATGATTTTTCTATCTCAAAAACTATTTTTTTTAGTTTACCTCTACTTTGCTGCCACATCTTCCCCAATAACCTTCCTTTCAATTAACAAAACGCTACGCGCTTGTCTTATAACCTTGAAAGTCGACGACTCGCTTTTGCTCTATCCGAGATAGTGGCAGATCTAACAGTGAGCCAAACAAACTGACCTTAGAGACAACCTCCGTAATCAGAAAATACTCTCACGCTGATAATGGGCCAAAATATTTGAGCAAATGCTAGTGACGGCGGTATTTACAGAAACCAGAAAATCGATAACAGATTTAAAATAATCCTATACAATTTAATTTAAACTTAACCACAAAAGAACATTTCTTTTTTATCTCGGTTTACATATTACTATGACACCAACGCTCATAGGCAACTATGATAACCCACCACAGCTAATCGAACTCAATGAAAAATAGAAACTGAACAAACAATTTGATTCGGTGGTTGTTAGATCCACCCTGATGGAAGAGGATGTGTCTACTTCGTATCTATCTTCACACATTGGGCATTTGAAGGCAGCTGCGTGATCTCAGTCCCAAGACAAGCCTCTTTAGTAATAAGACAAGTAAGTCAGGCGACATTTCAATGTGTGCTGCTGCAGTGGACTAAAAGAGCTTTCTAAGACATATTAGGGAATAAAAGAAACCACGACTGTTTTTAAAAGGCCGAGTTTCATATAACTACGTATCCTTAATAGACCTAAGCCAAGTTGTTCAAAGATAGGGATAACCCATTTTATTGCGAGATCTGATTTTAGATGCGAAAGCTTTAAAAGAAAATTACTGCTAATTCTTCGTCTAAAATATGATGATTGGAGGCCCTAAAAGGAATAGAGAATATAATCCCAAAAAGGCTTTTGAAAGAAGAAATAAAAAAAACCTGGATAAAAATTCAACCTTGGGTTAGCGCTAGTCGGCCTTCGAATTACTAGGCCCAGGATGGTATTTTGTTTATTTTCTTTTAAATTTTGTTAATAGTTGTATCGTTATCTAGCAAAAAACGGGTTGATACTAGCTTTTAATCTCAAATCTTTATATAGATTTTTGAGTGCGTCCTTCCAAAAGAGAAATGTGTTGTAAGAGTAACTAAATATTTTTCTCCTATATTCATAACTTTGTAGACTACCGAATCATTTTTGTTAGAATATATAATGACTTTGCCAGTTTGGGTTATGAGATTTCCATAACTCTTGAAAATCAATTTCAATCCAAATTTTCGTAGAGCTTGTTGTCGTACAATTGCATGTTGATGAACCTCTGTCAAAACAAAAAGAAGACAGTAATCAACCAAAGAAAGCCAAGGCCTTTGAATGACATTTGTGTTTGATTTTCTTTCACCTGATGTTGATTTTCCATTTCCTTCAAATCCTTCCTAAGTTTTTCAAACGTTGGACGATCATCAGGATTCTTTTGCCAGCAGTATCGGATGATTTTGTACCTACAAATTAGGATTTGGAATTAAGTTTTCATGATGTTATAAGGCTCTTCTCGATCAACTTTATTTTATCTTTGAAATTCCTCTTTGCTTTTGATTATTTATGGTATAGGGGGATTTTACTTTCGTTTGGAATATAATTCTTACTGTTGAACAATAGACATTCTGCACGATGATAAATATATGTACCTCGTGGATAACTTATGAATAATAAGTTAAATAATAGATTCCAAATTAATGACCAAGTACTTACAAATCATTATGCAGGTGTTGTTGCCTTGGCATTCTGTAGCCTTGTTTAAGTAGTTTTATCACGTGTGGTCCTTTAAAAGATGGATAAGGCAAGCCACCTAAAGAGAGAAGTTGATTGACATAAGACTGATTTGATCAGTTACCTACCTTCTAATATGACTAGCTAATAGTTTTAAATGAAGCGTCTTCGACTTTAGCCAGTCGTATTGTGGACTTGTACAATGTTTGTTTGATTTGGAATTAAAAAAAGAAAAAAAAAATTAGAAAAAGCAATTCATGATTCAATTTACTTAACCTTGATCGGATGGCTGAAACGTTGTCTTTTCAAACAAACACATACCTATTGTGAAAATTTCTGAAAGCAAAATTCCAAAACTCCACCTGATTTACAAGAAACAATTCAAATAAATTCCTGTCTGTGGGTACTGATAAGCTGAAACTGTCTTAAAGCATTCAAAATACATAATATTTAAAGCAATAATCAAGCTTCGACAAATTAATAAGGCAGTTAACAACTTACACATCACTTTGCGTGGTGTATAGTCCACTCTCGAATGGTTCAATAGCAGTCCATTTCGCCGGCACTCTTCGCTTTAATCTGTAGCAAATTACAAGAAAATATGTGAGAAAATGTTTGAATGCAAGTTTTTAAAAAGCATTTTAAATATTTCCACGAAATTAAATGCACATACCACTGTTCTACATTGCTAGGTATTTTCCCGGCCCACGTGTCGCTCCACTCCAAAATCAGTTACTTTACATATTTCCTGATTTCCAACCAAGACATTGCGGGCTGTAAGGTCGCGGTGAATAATCTGTCAGACATAATGCAAAGTAAAAGTCATCGTAATTACCCCTTTGTAACAATAGGCATCGTCTAGTAGCTTCGTTTGAGCGTCAATTTAAGGGACGGACGTATAGGAAAACGAGACAGTTGTTATTACTCTTGATGGCAGATATTAAAGTGATGTCTTCGTAACTAAACAGCTTTGATCTCGCCCCTGGGTTAGGTTCTGCAAATGTGCAACAAAGCGGAGTACTTAATTTTTTTATTCCAATTTTTAAAAACGCTCCGCGGAAGCCTATCTTGTACTTGTGTGTGTGTGCGTGTGTGTGTGTGTGTGTATGTGTGTGTGTGTGTGTGTTTTGTATGTATGTGTGTGTGTCTGTGTGTATGAGTGTGTGTATGAGTGTGTGTGTCTGTTTGTGTGTGTGTGCGTATGTGTGTGTGTTTGTGTGGGTGTCTGTCTGTCTGTCTGTTTGTGTGTTTGTGATAATCACAGCGGCAGCTTTTGGAAAATCCCTCCGTTAGGGCGTGAGCACTCATGTTATTGATTTAGTTTTCAGATGACAGTGTCCAAAGTCGAAATTTTAGAATTTCAGATCGGTCTGGTTTATCTGTGAGATCTCAAGGTATGAAAATGATATGAAGATTTATTACATACTTATCAATGGCGAAATAAAGTTTATATGGTTTCTTAGGCAAGAAAAGAGACTACTATCCTTTGTTAAAAGAAAAAAACAAACAAACAAACAAACAAACACACAAATTTACCTCCTTGGACGACAGATATTCCATGCCATCAGCTACTTGCCGAGAAAACTTCATCAACTGCAGGGAAGTTAAACTCGTCTGTAGCTTAACATCTGGGTCGCTGTAATAGTTATCATCTACGTTTCGGCTCTTCCTTAAATAACCCAAAAGATCTCCATACGGAATGTGCTCGATTATTACGAGTAGAGGATCTGTGGAAAATTAAGAACACAGCTTACATACAGTATGATCAATTAGTAACGAAAGTTACTAATTGATCATATAACGAAAAAAAAATTGTCTAGAAGATACCTATAAAGAAACACATTTTATCACAAGGGACACGCAAAGATAATAATTGAGTGTGCCTCAATGCCCTCCGTACATAAATCAAGTCCGCTAAAATAGAAAAGCAGCGAGCTCGTAACCAACAAGGTCTTTCACAAGGTTCATGGGCGTCATTCCCACAACAGTTATATGCTGTTGAGATTTGTCGGCAATAATCAGAGGTTTTTGTGTCAAAAGATCAAGAAAATGGAAAATAAAATCAAAGCTCCAGCTTTCCAAAAAAAAAAACAACAACAACAACAACAACAAAAAAACATGCTTAATTTATATCGTAATATACTTTGTGGCTACTTGGGATATGGACCCCGACGTTTCGACTGTGTACTACTAGTATTCTTCAGGCGTTGAAGTCAACTGTCCACGAGTCACCTAGATGCTGTTGTCTTCAGCTGTGATTGAACTGTCAGGCTGTCTACAGCGTCGAAACATACGCACTGTTTTCAAGTCAGAGACTACGCTAAGATCACACCCAAAGGATACCGTCGACCTGGCTAAACAGGATGGCGCAGTCCAAAGGATTCTCTCTGTGAGTATGGCGAATCTGGCAGACCTCTCCAGGCCGAGGGAATCAAGGGACACGACAGGGATATCCGACTCGTTAAAATGCAGACCTCTTCCGTCTCGGAGTACGCTAACAACACCGGACACCGCCCGCTCTGGAACGAAGTAAAGTTTATGGATCGTGATCTCCATTCCTATTCACGCAGGGTGAAATAATTCACATAGGACTTCACCCTACAAAAAGTAAGAGGGAAAGTGGAATTGAAATCCTGGAAGCCTGGATTCCAACGATCAAAAAACACAACAGCAGGAGAGCTGTGCAGCAGCGGACCACAGAAGGAAACTGATCCAAAAGGTACGGTGTACTAATCGCAGCCATGAAATTCCATCCAATCTCAGCTGAGCACAACAGTATATAGGTGACACGTACTCAATCGATCTCAAAGCCTGAAGAAGGCTAGAAGTATGCAGTCGAAACGTCGTGATCCACATTCCAAGTGACCACACCATGTTACAAACAATTACTTTTCCCCTTTCAAATGTTTAGTTAATCTGCTAAAAAAGGTGGGCATGGCGTTAAAATGATATTAAGAGACTATCTTGAGGTAAAATATGACAAAATATTATTTTATGTACATATGCCACTAGTTGGGCGTAAAAGTCTGTGTAATTTAACGGTTTCGTGATTCCATTAACCTGATACAGTGACGCATCCCAGCAGTTGGATGAGGTGGGGATGAGGTTTGAGTTTCTTCAGAACTTCGACCTCAGACAACTAAGCATTTCTTTCTTCGACTGTACCGCCATCTAGATTTTATGCAAAAAAAAAAATATGAAAAAGGGAAAGACCTTTATACAACTCAAGCAAATATTCCAGAAATGAGATATGCGTTTAAATGTTCGAAAGATGTCGCTTTAAATATAGTGTAAGTAGAATACCATATAGCATTTTTATGGCCACCGTTATTCTTCCCTCTCTTCCTGGCAGGCTTGTAGCTGTACCCTGAGCGACTTGACCGAAAGAACTATCTCCAATGATCTTCTTAATGATTATATTTTCTCTTTCCACTTCCCAGGAGCGGGTTCCCGGATTAAGTGTTGCATATTCATTTATTTCCAAATTGTCCAGCGTCGGCTCTGCGTCTTCCCTTTCCTCAGATCTTATTCTACTCATAAGAATGTGAGTTCCTGGCCCACGACACAAGACCCTATTGTTATCATTACTGCCTTCCAAGTCAAGTGCCTCGTTCTGTAATTTAAAAGAAAAGTAGGCCACACTCAATAAAAACACGACCTTTCCCTTAGACAACTACGTAGGGTACCGAAGTAAATGTCCTTTTCTTTGGTACTCTCGCCATATCTTAATTTCAGTTTTTATTGTCTTGCGATATCTAAGTAATCGTAAAGTCATAAATTAGTTTCTAGATTGGTGGCGAGAGCAACTCGATCGCATGGGTAACTAGACAATTAATTATAGCCAGGAATAAGCCTGCAGAATGTACTAAAATCTGCTTCCATTTGTTTGTATGATTCATGACCATCTGCTATTACACGCCAACTATTCTTGGAATAATTTGGATATATCAACAAAGTTGAAATGGTAAATTGGCCACCGTAATGATTACAAAAGCTGACGTTTCGAGCGTTAGCCCTTCGACGGTATAATATAATGAAAAGTTTACGCATCGTCTGATTAGTGAATGCAGTTTTCAAGCGGATACCTTATAAGGCTATGGAGCCCACATGTAACTAATATAAAAATATGTCATAGAGGCAATAAAACGAATTTCTCTGTGCTCTTAAGATTAACTTGCCGCTTGGGATGTCGGAAGAATACTCCGAAAGCTTATTAATCACTCGCCACCTGGCTCCGGTTGGTCGAAAGGTGGATAACTCTATCCACTGTATAAATCGCTATCCAATGGAAAGCGCAGTACATTTTGGAAACACTTATCCGCCGGATAGCAATTTATCCACTGGAAAGTGTTATCCGTTCTTTGAACAACTGGGGCCTGGTGTTCTCCTAACATTCCGCGGGGCTTTATCTCGTTATAAAGCTCGGAAAAATGTATTCTATGGCTAATATAGCCCACCTCTCTTAAATTCAGTTAATTGACATCGTTGCAATCGCTGAACGTTTGAAAAAAATCTTATTTAGCTATAGTATATATTCTATGCCTATACGTGTATGCTTGTACGTGTAGTATTCTGCTGACAACATCTTGGCTGATCATCGTACTCACAATTTCGGGCCTAATTGCTTCTTCGCGGACCCCAGGTGGTCTGAAAGAAAATCAAATATCAGAAACAGTAGCTATAAAAACAGTTTGCATCTAGGGATCTCTTCTTGAGGTCAAAACTGACTAACAAAAAATCTTATCAGTTATGCTCAGCTGGAAACGAGGAGAAATTAATGCCTCACCAAAAGTTTATCTTAACATCACAGTTACCGGCTAACTTAGAACACGAGAAATGATTTTTTAGAAAGAACATGAACCTTAATACAAGGTTTAAACAATAGAGGGGGAATCGTTTTAGATACAATTATACTTGAGTATGTATGTAGAGAAACCCCCCGTCATTTAACAGGCGATAACTATATTTTCTCTGCTTTCTAGTTATTAGCCAGATATTTAACTCATTAGAATAAGTCACTTTATCTCACCTATCTCTGTTTTGACCTGAAAATTGCAAGAAAAGTATTAGGAAATTAGGTCAGAGAGCGGTTGCATCAATCAATCGATGGTTATCATTAATTTATTGTCTAATATGCCTGATATGAATGGTCGATTTTGATTTTCAATAAGCACCTGCAATCTACATTCTTTGAAATTGTAGGTGTCCACACAAATTCAAAGATATCACGATGTCAGGAAATCTTGGTTTTTACCCAGATGCACATTTCGAAGACCTTCTGGTTTCTTATTTTCATTTTCTCCCTTTTTTTCTTTGTTTCTTTCTTACCCTCTTTTAGTGTTTCTTTCCTACGAATCCAATTTAGCTTGGACGGGTAAATATACCTTTTGAGAGCCTCTAACTTTGGGTATGTTCCATTAAAATTAACAAATGGTAAACACCACAGCGTACACTATTGAGTTATGGATGCACGCGGGAGGTTGCTAAGCACGAAAGAAGCGTAAGAGTCGCTTGAGGCGATAGCCGAGAGCGACTCTAGCTTCTTGAGTGCTTAGCAAACCTCCCAAGTGCATCCACAACTCAATAGTGTACGCTGTGGTGTTTACCATTTGTTTTATAACGTAACATTGATACATTGTAGCTTAAGAGTTCCCTTTTATTTAAGAAATCTTACGTGACCGGAAAAAACAAGCGCGCGCGGAAAAATAGTCTTTGCATTTGCTCACGTCAGCAGCGTATACCCATGGGCAAATGGAGGACCCTAAATTGACCAATCAGAGCGCGCGCTTTACTTTGGTTATGTTATAATTATAATTTTTACTTACGTTGCCAGCGTTTCCAAGGTTTGAAAATGAAGAGAACTATACATACAACCACCAAGGCGAGGACCCCACCAACTGACCCAAAAATAGCGACATGTTTATCAACCTTTGTCTGTTCAGATGGAACAGGACTAGAAACAGGAACTAAAAAGGAGTAAATTTGAGATTCATCTCTCCAGAAGAAAAGCCCTCATATCATTTAATCCTGATTTCAAAAATTTTAAGATTTGACTAGTTCATCACAAAAGATTACCTTTCGGAACCAGTAAAGAATTACTATAACAATTGGTTTTTACTTTTAGCTGCGTTTATCTCTAGATATGTGTGCACTTAGGAAGTTTGGAGGGCACTCGCCCGCGCCTGAAATAACGCTTACGCTTCTCTGGTGCTCTCCAAACTTTCTCCGTGCATCCATAACTCAAAACACACACGCTAAGCAGTACCCAGCTGTGAGGTAAAAGCGGCCTTCCTGGAGGCGTATTTATGTAGTTGATACAAAATCAAATACACTTTTTTTGTACGAATGTAAAGGAGACTCGCCTGACCAGTCTTTTTACCAACAGTGCATTCGCACTTCAACTGTCGACAAACCTTGGAACTGAAAGGGTCTTCACTAAGCTGAAACGATGATGTCTCAAGTCACTAGAGGCGAGCAAATAAAGTATGCTGCTTGTTTTGACTGTGAAATCTAGGTAGCCTGTTTTCAATGTTTTGCGTCCGAAATAAGTTTCATCCCAACACCTAGTATCTCAGATATCTCTCTTCGTGACAGAATTTCTACAGACTATAACTCCCGGTCACATAAGTAAGTGGAGGACATGTATTACCGTGTTTTTGACGTACAAATCGATTTGTGTGGACCGATATGGAAATAGACTCTCAGTTTAATAAAAATGAGATGTATTGCAATAAGGGATGATTTAGCTGTTTCTGAGGTCACTCAAAAGGTATATTCGTCGAAGAGGATTTTGCCTCTTACTTAATTAAAAAAATGTTCTGTCTTATTATTTTTAAAAACAATCGTAATAGACCAATACCATCTGGCCCATATGATTACATACACTCATCAAAGTGTTAGAGTAGTTGTTTCATTTTTTTCCGCTCATACTATAAAGCCACTTGTGCGGCCAGTCGTCTTCAACTTGTTTGTTGGCTGTCGCCCTTTTCACAGTTTACGAAAACAACAACTCCCGTGCTGTTGCCACATGGCAGGACGGAAAACGCGTGCACTGTAAGTACCTCCCGTTGTCCCGTACAAAACTTTAGAAAACTTTTCTAAGGCTCTGTATGGGACAACGGGAGGTACTTACAGTACACACATTTTACGTCCTGTCATGACCCATGGCGTTCTTGACGACGCATCGATAAAAAAACACTCCCCAGCTAGCCATCTTTCTCTTCCATACACCCGAACTGTGGTCATCCTTCCCAAGGGTGTCATTCTCAAACAGTTCATAGCTATCAACAGCTGGATTACTATCAGATAAGCGTTTGAAGCTCATTGTCTCATTCTCACAGACAATGAACTTACTTGTGGACAGCTGAACATTCACCGGAGTCTCTATGGTAACAACACGCGCGCACACACACACACACACGCACACACACACGCACACACACACGCACACACACACAAATGCTGAGATGTTCACAGAAAACTCCACGGATGGCTCAAATGAAACTTTACTGTGAATCACTAAACAGGGCATATGCCTAGTTTTCTCTACAAGACTAGGAATAAGAATGAGCGTGATAAAAATACGACTTAGGTGGCCCTGCGTAAAGTCATATTTGTTCAATGGGTAGGGTTTATTTAAAAAAATCCCTTCCTCATCTCCTTTCTATTCGGGGATCAACATGCTAAGTTAAGTAAATGGTAAGAAATAGCACAAACTGCAGCTACAAGCATGACTGAAAAACGCATGTTGGACAACAAGATTAGTAAACTTTCCTTGACGTGTCGTATGTTTCCACAAACATATTCAGAAGTGACAGCTAATAATACACGTGGCAACTAAGTTTAAATTTAAGATAAGTAACTAATTAACATAACAACGAACAAAAGTTGAGAAGAAAAATATTTGCATATACAAAGATGCAAACTAATACAGATAAACCTTATCGCTGCTGACATTATCTTTTAGAGTAGGTTTAAGTTCTTCAATTAATAGAGTCTCCTTTATCTTGCAATGAGCATCAGAACGACCTTTTGCTAATGATAGCAGATGTATGACACTGAGGCACTTGTGAGCACTTTAAAATGTTCAGTTTTCCTGTCATGCAGTCTACGTTTTGTTTTTCCAATGTAAAAATCCGGGAAGTCCCAACAACTAGCCTTATAAACAACTTTCCACACTTTCTCGACATCTATTTAACGAAAGAAGACATTTACTGGCCTGTGCACAAAATGGATTCCTTCACACCTAGAAAATACAAAGTAAACCTCCTCCGCACACTCACTTTTCGTTGCTTTCGCATCTGTTCGTCACCTTCTCTTTTGCGATCCTGTCTTGGCGAACTGAGGAAGTTGTTACTACAGAATGGTTATCCGGCTGGATTTGTAAATTACAACATCAATGATGTTTTGAGCAGACAGCAAAACAGACCGACTAATCCAACCACCACAGTTCCCAAAAAGAAAACAATCTTAGTTTTACTTTTTTTAGGGATGCAAAGTAAAATTGTTACCAAACAACTTAAGACCTGCATTAATAAATTTTATGGTTGCGTTGATCTCATGGTGATTTTTCAGAGCGCTCATCGCATCAAGTCCTTTTTTCCATACAAAGATAAGATCAACCGTTTCCAAATGTCAAAAGTTGTTTAGAAGGCTAGTTGTTGGGACTGCCCGGATTTTTACTGGATTTTTTATTGGAAAAACAAAACGTAAATTGCATGACAGGAAAACTGAACATTTCTTGATGTTATAGAAAGGTAGCGCATTCTCCTCAGTTATTTTTAAGACCTTGAGTGTTGATCCGACCGGGGCTTGAACCCTCGACCTCCCGCACAACAGTCCGGTGCTCAACCAATTGAGCTAACCGGGAGGCGGTTTTATTTTCATAAAATTTGATTAAAAAAAGAAAGTGTGACTATATATCTCAATGACTATAGATCTTAATGACTATATATCTCTTTTCTCGTGACATTTTTTTGGCTCAGAATATCTTACCTTTTGGTATGCAAATCACACTGGCATCTTGCTTATGTGTGCAGTCCGTCGTTCTCCATCCTTTATGCTTACAATAAGTAATTGCAGTCTCATTTCCAGTACAATTTACGTCATCCATCCAAATGACACCCGAACCTTCTCCAAACGCTGCTGAACGGAGAGCTTCCAATGCTTGTTCAAATCCCAGTTGTCGACAGACTACATTAGCTTCCGGTAGTTCCCAATAGTCATGGCATATTGTTCCCCATGCTCCATCGTAAAATACTTCAACTCGACCTTGATATGAAGCATCTCCCCCAGCTAGCCTGACTGTCAAGTGAACAAAATTAAAAACAGATAAATGATTAAGGTTGGATCTTTTGTGTTCCTGTTGGCCTCTTGTATATGGCTAAAATAGTTTTTTTTGCCAAGGTAACAAAATCTTTGATGGCAAATACCTTTGCTAAAAGGCATAATCTTGATAGGGTTGGTTTGTCTGGATGC